TTATTTTTAATAATTAAATTAAATTAACTTATTTAAACTTATCTAATCTTTTTTTTGGTAGAAAAACTTATGTAATCTTAATAAACGACGGTTAATTACCACCATTGTAAAAAAAAATTATATTATTGATCCAAGAAAATAGAAAAATGAAAAAAAAAAAAAAAGAAGAAGAAAAGAAAAGGAAAGGTAATTCCTAAAGGGAAAAAAGAGCGAGAAATGACGTGGGGGTGATGCGATGCGAGGGTGATGATGGGATTGGGGGCAGACGGGCATGCCAAGTGAAATGAGGCCAAGCGTGCAAGCCCCGGAGCAGTTGTCAATGATGTAGTCCTGACTTTTTGTCTTGTTTTTGAATCCCCAAATAAAAAAATTAAAATTAAAATGAAAAACATATTCTCAAAATCGAATGTAAATAATAAAATATGTACTTTTTTATTTTATTTTTTTAAAATGAGGGGAATAGAAAAGAAAAGGGGGAGGTTAGATGTCGCAGTCGGTACCCGGCAAAACGACTTCAAATGCCGCTTTCTTGTCCCCTGTTTTCCACTGTCCCCTCGTCTTAATCCTCATTTATTGCTTCTTCCTTGATCCTCACCCCACCCCCTTTCTCTCTCCTTTTCTTTTCCGCTTTTGCCCTTCCCTCATTATACATTAATTAATACCATAATTTTTTTAACCTCTATGCTTAAGGCTGAGGTTAAAAACACTTAAAAAAAAAAATAAATTCATATAAAAATATAAAAATAAATATTAATTTTAGCTAATATCATATGTATAAATTTAATTAGATAATTAATAAATTAAATAATATTTTTTATTTTTTTCGAGACACTTAACTTATATTCTTAATGCTTAAGTTTAAAAAAAACCCTTACTAGTATATAATTTTTAAATTTTCTAACATGTAGTTTAGAGCACAACTTAATAGTATAATTTTATAGAATTTTTTAACCTGTGCTTTAATTGAGTCTTATTAAATGTAATATATGTAATTAACTAGACACAAAATTTTAAATTAGATTCAATTAAGATAAAAATATAAAATGTAAATTTAAATAAAATATAATATTTATACTTAAAATATGTAAAAAAGTATGAATTTGATATAAAAATTTATATAAAATTAACTATAAATAGTACAATTAATGATGTTTAACCTATGTTTTAA